TCCTAAGTGAGAAAATTCTAGAGATCTTGCTTTTAAAAAAGCGTTTCTGATTGTGCCTGTCAGCGGCGTTTGGCTCCTCAGCTGTGGAGCTTTAAAGTTCGCGCTCTTTTGGAGAGCGTCGGCGGCGGTGACTCAATCAGCTCTTAGCGGCTTCAGCTCTTTCTTATAGTGACTTCAGCTCAATTGTCTCGCCTGGTCGTCTTTACTGTATCCCGCCCTCATCACCAGTGTTGTAGAGCGGCGGTTACAGAGAGAGACGGAGCCAGGTCTAAGCTAACAATCTTTATTCCATCGAATAAAGGGTCGCCACGGCTGCCGAGGCAATCTGACAGCCAGCTGGCGGCAACAGCTGATGCCGTTTGACAGCTCCCTTTTATAGCCGGCTGTCAAACGGCATCAGCCAATGGGAGCGATCGGCGCTCCCGCGCAGGCGGCGGACCAGAAGGAGAACTGCTGCCTAGTCCTTAAACATAGCAACCTTGAAATAATGTATGATAATAGAAGACTCTATGTACAAGCTATTGTTTTAACCAGAATGCAAGAAGCAGGAAAAGAAGACAAATATCCAATGTAGCCTATAGTTATGTCTTCCAAGATTACACGAAGCCAGAACTGAATAACCAGTGCCGTGACAGATACACTGAATTACATCTTCCAGCTTCTCTAGAATCAAGGCTAAAAATATGATACACAGTTAAGCCTCTCTAGCCACAGGTTGCTCATGCCTGAAACAGAACATGCCAGCCATGCTCAGCTTCTGGATGCTTTGTTGCTATAGGAATATTATCCCTCACACTCACTTCTTCACTAATCAGCAACTTTTCCAGATTATCTTGTTTCCATTATGTCCCAAGGGATCTATTTTTAGCAACTTTTTGGGCCCAGGAAGGCAAACCCTCCAAGAAGATTTCCAGTATGGGTATTTGAAGCTAAACTCTATTGTTCACGGAGAAACTTTAATTACAGTCCCTGAAACAGTCTGCTTCACATGAAAAAAAAAATGAAATTCTACTGTGATGTTCTCGAAACATGAGTGTCAGGGTAGGCTGATCCCTTGGCTGTATTACTTAGGTAGATTTTTTTTCCGTACCTGTACACTAGCATTATCTAAGGAACACTTCTCTGAAGTCTTAGTTGAAGCTGTATGCCCATTCGAGCCTTTTCACGGGTCTAGTTAACAAACAAGGAAGAGATGTGTAACAGAAACAACTATGACACCAGTGCCAGTGACCAATCTCCAATAATAAAATAAGCTCAAATCCACCATGAACAGAAATACAAATCAGCCTGGACATTGATTCACATATTCAAGCCTCTTCTTATTGTCAGGAAATCAGGGGATACATTTGGCCCGGTATTTAAAAAATGTAAGAACAGAGTAAAATGATAACAAAGCAGTATAAACTAAAGCCAGAAGTAGAGAATAAATCGATATCAAAGAATAAACAGTAGAAAAAACCTCATTCTTAAATGCTTGGAAAATCCAAAATTGTATCTACTATTGTGCTGAAAATCCAAGTAAAATAGATGTCTCATAAGAAAAGCATTCTGTAGCCAGAATTAGAAAGACCCTTAATTTCACTTAGTCTCTCATTTTGCTTTTGTTAGAGGGACCTTAAGAAGACAATTCCAGAAAATCAGCTCAGAATTTGGGGTAAATGTATACTATCTAGAAAAGAGGAGGGGAACTATGGCCCCTTTAAGACTTGACTTCAACTCCCAGAATTCCTAAGCCATGGCTGGCTCAGGAATTCTGGGAGTTGAAGTCCACAAGTCATAAAAGGGCCATACAGTTTCCCATCCCTGGTCTAGAAGGAAACAATCTTTTCGGCACCTTGATACTCAGATGAAAATATTTTTTTTCTTTTTTTAAAAAAATGGGTAAACAACTGGTGGAAATGGAGACTGATGGCCCTGGGAGACAGAAATATTGGAAATCTTCATGGAAAGGCAATTTTTAACCTCTATTGGCAACTTAGTAGTTCTGATATATCTGATTTTATTCTAAAATTTCTCAACCCATAATCTGGCATGAAAGTATAGTTATCATAATCCATGAATGAAAGTAAGCAGCAACATTTAAATAGTGTTGTTCATCGTGTATCTTTCTAAAGAATATGTCATTCTATCTTTATGTCAGATGGAAGAGAACACAAACTGGGTCACTAACATCATTAAGAGATGCATCAGCCCCTCTTTGAAAACTTGTGCTTTGAAATCGCTCTAGGGATGTACAATTTAATGGCTGCTACAGATGTTGAAATGATTCTGTGTTCTGATTCAAACTGTAAAGCGAATTTTGTCAGAGGAACAAAGAGATGGCTTGATGCAAGGTTTGCAAATTATTTCTTTTATCTCTAATTTAGCCTTTGTGAGTTGGCCTTTGTCTCTTACAAGCAGAAACTTTATGCTAATACAAATTTAGAAGGTAGACAAGGAAAGCAGCTTTCCCTGTTCCTTTTCAAGCTTTTATCCCCAGTCCGAGAAAGCTAAATCTGGCATATTTAAAAAGGTCATTATTTGTTATCATAAACAGAATCAAGGAATTTGAAAGATACATGGAAATTGTGGTCTTAGATACTCTATATACATTACATGAGTATGAAACAAATATTTTTATTTTTCAAGAGAGATCTAAAAACTGATGTAAACACTTCTATATCTATGACTTGTCAGAAGAGATCTTTGGTCAGAGAAGGATATTGAACATATACTAAGAATCTTTATCTCTTTTCATGTGTGAGGGAAAAATAATAACAATGTCCAGCTGTCAATCACTTTTAAAAGTGACTTGTGGAAACTAAACATCAGCGATGTTGATTGAAGTGAGAAGTATTGGGCATGTAGGGGGCGTGCATAAGCGCACTAACGTGCCTACCATCCCTGTCCTATTGTTTCTCTTATTCTTTTATTTTTCTTATATGTACCCATTTCATGTATTCACAACTATGTATACATTTATACTTATTATCTTGTAAACAATTGGCAAATCAAATAAATAAATAAATAAATAAAACCTTTCCTTCAGAAGTGAATCCATGCCCATTCCTGGCATTGCACGTATTGCTTTCCTCTTCTTGCCAAACACTTCACCCTTTTCCGTTGGACTTTATCTCCTGTTCTTTCCGCCATGAGTCAGAAAAAATACTTCTGTTTCTCATACTCCTGTCATGAGGGAACTTTTCTTTTCTTTTCTTTTTTTTCAGGATCGTAACTGTGAATGCTATTAGGGATTGCCAAGCAGATAGATAGCAGCAATGAGATAAGGGGCTTCTATGTCTCTCTGCTGCCATTGTGTCATTCAGATAGGATAAGAGCAAGATGGTCAAAATTAAGCAACTATCAGCCACCTGAAACTACAGTGCTCAGAGTTGATAGCGATAGTACAATGCCCCCTCCCCCTCCCCCAACATTTTTGGCACCAGGGACTGGTTTTGTGGAAAACCAATTTTGGATTGGGGTGGGAGGATGGTTTTGGTTTTGCTCGCTCACCTGCCCGCCTCTCACTTCCAGCTGGTCTGGTGGGTTGGGGACCTCTGCTATAGTAGTTGAATGAGATCTGAGACGAAGGAGGTGTATTTTATGCAAGAAAATGATTTTTCCTCATCTTTAAGATGTTTCCTAGCTTGGGTAATGAAAGGTCTGCAAGCAAACAACCAAATTCAGAGAGCACCAAGCACCCCATAGTTCAACCCTAAACTACAGATATTCTCTCCTATTAGGGCGCCTTACTCATTATGAGTTGTGCCTCATTCTAAGTATAGTTCGTTACACAAGCCATAGTGGTCTGTGGCTGAATTTAACTTGGAGATAAAACTAGTTTACATTGAAGGAAAATTTTGGTTCTTCTTAAGTCTTTGGCTAAAAGTCTTCTTTGCAATGGCTAACTTGCTGTTTTAATTGTAGAAGAATCATTCCAAATAATGAGGAAGAGAACCGTGAAGAAAGAACACTAGTGTCAGCTGGTGCTCTGTTCAAAATCCAAGAAAGAAATACTTAGACTCTTGTAATTAGAGAAAAGATATCTTTTACTGGAAGTTAAGTGGTAGCAACAAGAAAATTCTGAATCTGGGGAAATAGGCACGTATATCACATATATCAAGGGAGTGAAATATTCCCACCCCCAATAGTTCAAACGGTTCTTGCAATTAAAAGTTGTGAACTTCATCATGTGGACATCTCCAGGTGGTGATGATTAGTTGACCATGGCTTACTCAGATAAAGGTTTGCAGTTGCGCAGAGAAGAGAAAGCTAAGCAGGAATTAGAAACCCTCTCCAGTTTATACAATATCAGTTAGTAACACTTTCAGCTCACGTCCCATACATTTCCCCCTTCCACCACCCCCGTTACTCATGACAGCCAGAAAGAAGCAAAGGAAAGGGGGAAGATCTTGAAGGCTGACAACTAGCAGTATTCAGATAGCTCATATGGATTTACAAGGAGTTCAGTTTCTAATCATATATGTGGAGGATTGGCTAATAATAATTTTGACTCTACAGCCCCCAACTATCTATGCTGATATATTACACAGCTTTTATGTTAGCTTGATTTAATGCTCTACTTTTAGCATTCATGATGGGCAGATAGCAGAATGTTCTGTTTGAGCAAGCTCTCTGCCTTCTGAGGATGTGTGAGCAGATTCATGAGTCATACTCTTCTGTACTGTCTTATTTTAAATTGAAGGACATTACCTGTTGGTCTGCATGATTTAAAGTATCCAATTAAGAGTAAAGTGTTATGTCCCTTTGTACAGATTACCCTTGACTGACAACCAGAATTGAACCCAAACTTTAGGTTGCTCAGTGAGACATTAACTAAGTTTTGCCCCATTTTATGAGCTAAAATTTCACAGTTGCCATAGTTGTTAAGTGAACCACTGCAATTATTAAGTTAGTAGCATGGTTGTTAAGTGAATCTGGCTTCCCTATTCCTGGTCAGAAGGTTGCAAAAGGAGATCATCTGATCCTGGGAAACTGCAACCATCATAAAAATGAATCAGGTGCCGAGTGTTTGAATTTTGATCCCGTGACCATGGGAATACTGCAGTGGTCGTAAGTGTGAAAAATAAGTCACTTTTTTCTGTGCCGTTACAACTTCAAATGGTCACTAAATGAACTGTTGTAGGCCTGAGGCACCATTACCTGAGCATTTTTTTAGACTCTTAGATACCTTCAAGTTGTTTCAGTTTATATAAGTCACTTGCTATAGAAATTGAATAAATGAATGAGATTTTTATATGTTGATATTTCCACCATAATAATAAAGATAAACAATAAATAATAAATTTAGTCAAATTGCATTACTATTCTGCTTGAGGAATGACATCAGTCAGGGTAAATTGTTAAAGAGAGAACAGCTCATTCTACCACTGTACCATCTATTAATACTTTAAATCCAACTGGTCTTTTAAAATTATTTTGGTCAGGTCATTTTTCTCACTTTCCTGCTTTGAGAAGACTTGTTATTCCCTCCACCTTCTGTTATTTATTTATTTTTTGTATCATTGTTTATTTACAAACATAAAGTATTATAAAATAAAAACAAAAAAATGGGCAAAATGTCATAGAATTGGCACACTCTGCCAATGTTGGATCTGAGAAACAAAACACAAGACAACACCTATATCCTGTTTGTGACTAATAAACAATTCCATAACTAGCAATGGAGAAAACCAATAAATTACTGTTGCTTGATTGCAAGAGCAGCATCCAATGAAATTAACAAAAGATAATTGCATAACTGTATCCAGTAAGTTTTTCAGTAAGCTCCTCTGATTTCAGTGGTGAATTCTTAAGTCTTCTGTTGTTATTTCTATTTCATTATCTACCTGCCTTTGGTAAACCTATGCAAAAGATCCCAGTTATGGCTGGGAAAATGTTTATATGATTATAGATATTTTGAGTTTCAATGCAATTTACATAATCTTTTTTGTCTAAAATAGAAAGATGCCCTTGTTGAATCTGAATTCCTACTAAAAGCTCGCTTCCTTCCTACCATTTGAGTCCTGTCTTTTTATTTGTTTTTTTTTCATTTGTATCCTTTCCCCCCCTTTAGTTCATTCACAATAAATCACAATATCTTAAAACCTTGAAACTGCTGTTTTAAAAGCATAATTAAGCATAATTAGAATAAAATCCATAAAAATTCAGAAGTATTGAAATGCAAACTGAAATGTAAAATGTCATAGCAGCTCGGTGGAAGAGCCACGACTTGACTGTCTTCTTGTCTATAACAGGCACAAGGGTGACTGAAACTCCAGGGAAAAGATATTCCAGAAGATCTGATTACTCCCTTCAGCCTTCCCAGGATGAAGGAATCTGTAGCATGTCTATCTGCGTGGCCTGAAGTAGCCAGGAAGATTCAACTTGGGGTCCCAAATGTACATTGACACCAAGTCCTACAGGGACTATACAAAGCAGCACTTTGAATGGTACCCACAAGCCTACTGGTAGCCAATGCACAATACAAATATACTATATTGTGAGTCCTGCCTCAATCAGCACGCAAAAGGCTGCATTGTGGCAATTACAGTTTTCTAGTCTTTCAGGGGCCCAGGTTCAAGCAGATGACAGTCCAAGATGTCTTGACCATAAGTGTACTTCTTATTATGAGTTTAGCTTCCTTAGCTGAACTCCCTGGGCCCTCTTCATAGAGGATTGAGAAATAGAGATGGTGGTATTCAGCTGATTCGCACTGGTTCATATGAACCAGTAGCAAGGATTTGGCATGGGTCGCTGACCTGGTAGTAACTTCTGGCTGGCCATGCCCCTGACCTGGTTGCTGGTCGCTCACTTGCCCCACCTGCCCGATGCTCACTCACCCCACCCGCCTGACACTCATCCCATCCAGTCACACCTTAAGGTATTTCTTTTTCCCCCCCTCCCAACAACCAGCTTTTCCTACGATCAGCTGTGCCGGGATTCCCTTTGCTTACTTACTGCTTCACCCAGGAGGGTTCCCTGAGGCCCAGGAGGCACAGCCCCCCTCTCTGCACTCCATTTTTTGCCTTCCTGGGCCCCAGGGAAACTTCCTGAGAGCAAACCCCTCCCCCAAGAGGCTTCCTTGAGGCACAGAAGGTCCAAAAATGAAGCATGGAGGGGTGCTGTGTGCCCCCTCCAGGCTCCATTTTTTTTCTTCCTGGGAAGCCTTCTGGGAGCAAAAACCCAGGAGGTTGCCTGAGGTCCAGAACGCCCAGAAAACGGAGGAGGGGGTTGCTGCAAAAGAAAAAAAAGCCACGTCCACCCAGTCACATGGCCATGCCCACCTAGCCATGCCCACCAAGCCACGCCCACAGAACCGGTAGTAAAAAAAAATTGAATCCCACCAGTGGATACTACAAGTTTATTACATATAAATGTCATATGAATCTTCTGAACAGTTACATAGACTTGGAAGTATTCAGTTTCCTGGAACTGAAGAAGCTAAAACAAAATAACATTTGAGGAAACATCTTTTTTTCCTTGCTCAATTCTCAACCTTACCACTCAGCTATGTTAAGTACTATACTTTCTTAAAGTGAGAGAAATCAATGATGTACTTACTAAAGGGTCCTCTCTTATGATTTATATTATAAATTCAAATGATAAAAACTGGTTCTAGACCTCATCTTTGATCCAAATTAAACCTCATGTTCGTAATGTCTTCGTTTCTTTCTTCGTTAGCAATGCATTGCAGCCAAAGCTAAAATGCTGTTTGCTCTCAGAAATACTTAAGAATTTAAAATGGCAAACCACATTAGGTTTCATTCGGCTGCACTAGTGAGATCACTAGCTAAACTGTACATCTGTGATGTAAAAGATATTGTTTTATCAAAATTCACCAGATTTGGAACACCCACACAAAGTGATAGTTACCATTTGTGTTTCAGGAAGAAGCTGTGATGGCAGATATGAAGTTTTATTATGATCTTTCAATCCAATGAAGAATTACTAAGTCCCGCTAAATTCAGAGGACTATTATTGACCTATTAATAATTTTCAATTTTAATTTTAAATGTGCTGCATTCTACTAATTTAACCTATTATTAATAATTCTATGGTGGCACAGTGGTTAGAATGCAGTACTGCAGGCTACTTCTGCTTTACTGCTGGCTGCCTACAATTTGGCAGTTAGAATCGCACCAGGTTCAAGGTTGATTCAGCCTTCCATCCTTCTGAGGTGAGTAAAATGAGGACCCAGACTGTTGGGGGCAAACTGCTGACTCTGTAAACTGTTTAGAAAGGGCTGTAAAGCATTTTAAAGCAGTATGTAAGTCTAAGTGCTATTGCTATTCCCCCCGGCCCGTTTTCTAATTCTTGTTTTTGGCAATAAATATCTACCTACCTTTCAAAATCTGGATCATCGGATTGATCACTATTCAGCCTTTTTGTAGTGGATGTGTAAATAAATGGAATACTGTGGCCCACCTTCTCCTTGTCTACCTCTCTAAACAGCTGTTGTTTGTCCTAAACAGCTTTCCTTTTACTTTTGGGAAACATGTTTAGGATTTCCTAAAATCAATTTAAACGTAATCTAAAACTGTCTGGACAGGGAAAATTACTAGTACATGCCGGGGACAATGTTCCATTAGCACTAATTTATTGTCCTTCAGGGCATTGCAGAAACATTGATGAATACAACAGAACACAGACATTTATGCTTTATTAGAATATCACCTCACACATGTCTGTTCATGAATCAGCATCTTACAGTTCCTTTTATTCCCAGATCAAATTTTTATTTCTATTCAAAATGTATAGGAGGTATTTGAAGTGAAAGGGTCAAAGTACCATGTCAAAACAGATTGCCGTGATGAATACACACGGCAGACACAAACCCCCCAAAAAGACAATGCGTGGAACTCTTCTTGATTTCAGTGTTTACAATACAACAAGGATAGGGAACAATGGTAGGATTCAATTTTTTTTACTACCGGTTCTGTGGGTGTGGCTTGGTGGGCATGGCAGGGGAAGGATACTGTAAAATCTCTAGTCAGAGGTGGTATTTGCCAGTTCTCCAAACTACTCAAAATTTCCACTACCAGTTCTCCAGAACTGGTCAGAACCTGCTGAATATCACCTCTGATAGGGAATATACAGTTTTTCCAGGTGTTATTGAATTCTAATTCACATAAACCCTAGCCAAAAGGAGCAACAAGGGATGATGGGAGTTGCCACCCACAACTGGAGACAGATGTACCTGCAGAATCCAATAGCTTTGTCAAAATGCTGATGACCAGGTGGAAAAGTTGTTATGCACGTTCTGTCCCTTATATATGAATACGTGATGTCATATTTAAAAAGGCAGGGCTTATGTTTAGTTGTTCTGATGCTCCTTTTGTAAGGACTCCCATAGCAGGAGGCCACATATTATTGTCCTACAGTGCAGAACAAATGGATATCAGGCATCTCCCTTCTTGACCACATCACAAATGACACCATTCGACAACATTTTGGTGTGGCACCAATTATAGAGAAGATGAGAGAAGACTGACTGCGCTGGTATGGACACGTCCAAAGAGCAGCCTCTTCCACCATGGCCAAGACTGCCTATCAATTAGAAGTCAATGGCCGACAACCTTGTGGGCGTCAAAACAAAGATGGAAAGACACCATCAACAAAGACATGCAAGCTGTGGGCTTTCACCTTGGAGACGCAGTTGACCATGCAAAGTGGCATTCAATGATCCGAAAAGCATGCATTTTCCTAGATTATAGAATTATATTCACTTTTGAATAACCAAAGAAATAATGATTTAATGATGTAAGTATATGGCTGTGCAATGTTTCCTATTCTGGGGGCATGAATACAGAATGTTTATGGAGCTTTTCAGAGCAGCCGCATCTCAAAATCATGAGATAAATATACAGAGCAGCCACAGGACCCCATGGCAAAACACAGGCAATTTAAAGTGTTACAGACAAGTGCTACCTTTGTGCCTCTCTACATTATAAACACTTGTTTAATTCAGTCCAATATGCTGCACAGCCCTAATAAACATTCCAAACAATCTTTCCAAATGTGACCGAGAAACTGAATGAATGCTTGATTCTGGGTGAGTTGAGTTAGGTGTTTTTTTTGCTATAGGCCAGAGGTCTCCAAACTTGGCAACTTTAAGACTTGTGGACTTCAACTCAAGTCCACAAGTCTTAAAGTTGCCAAATTTGGAGATCCTCTGCTATAGGCTGATTTATTCTCATTGGGGATAAAAGGAAACCAATATTATGTAGAAGGTAAAAACCATTTATAGATTACTTTCTCCAGCATGAGCTTACTTGAGTATTTAAGATCATGATCAGAGGCCATACTTTGTCTTCCAAAGTCATGGTTGACTGGCTCAGAGAGTAGGGGCCTTTTTATTGTTGGACCCAGACTTTACAAATCCCAGCTCAGAGATCCAAGCCACTTCTTTCCTGAGCCTTCTGTTGCTGCTTTCACTGAACTTTGGCTTTAAACTTTGGGCCTTTATTTCTCCATCTCTATTCCTTAAATCTACATGGACCTGAATGCGCTCATTTCTCAACCATTCTGGACCTATGACTAAGTTGCCTCTTCTGTGTGAAAGTTCATGTCATAGTAAATCAATTCAACTTTAAGCTTCCATTGCACTTTCTGTGCATTTTTTAGAAAATCTTTGCTTTATATCTTCCATGCTCCTGCTGAGTATTGTGCCAAAGGGAAGTTGTGATATTTTCTCTTCAGAGTGCAGGGCCCAGAGGGGAACCAGTGCTTGTTTCCTTGTCTTACCTTGACCTATACCTTGTTAAACTATGTGCCTGACAAGTGAGCCCAGATGAGGGCCCACAGATGTAACCCATACAGTTCATTGCTATTTATTTATACTTAAATGTGGGTCAACATGCAAAGCAGACTGTAATCACATTTGAAACTGAGATCTCTACTTGACATCATTCTGAACTTCCGCAGTGCCTGGAAGATGGTATTTACAGCTGGGTGTTTAGTTGCTTAAATGTCAAAAGGTTTCAAAGAGCAGCATAAACAGTCAATATAAACACAATTTGCATGTAATGACTGGATTCCTTTAACCTCAAGGGATGGGGAAGATTATTTGTCAGATGCCTTTTAGTTAGAGATAAATGTCCAGAGGAAAAAAATAATTAGGTTTGTAACACGGCACTCAGTGTCTCTTCTTATTGATTAGGAAGCCAAGGCAAAGTTTGCCTGCAAGGCGGTGTCAAGCGTTAAGAGAACACTTAGCAGGGAAAGACAAATAAAGCAACCTGTGATTTCACCTGGTTATTAATCAGCTTTTATTTTCCTTGACAGCTGTTCTGTCCTTGTTAAAATACCAAGTTAAGGCAATATGATATTCTCTCTTTTCTGCCTGGTACAAAATGATTATTTAGAGTGATAGCTGTCACTGAAAACATCAATAATTAATGCTTACAGTACCATCTAAAGTTCTA